GACGCAGTTTTAGCTTTTCTCAATAGATGGCGCTGTTCGCGCATGCGCTTGATTGTTTTTTTCGTGTTAGAAGAATTTCATTTGAGATAGGTTTTAATCATTATGAGAACCAAAAAAGGTTATAATATGATTGTTTTAAGTTGAAACATTAACGGCTAGCCTACTTTTAGTTGTTTAGCCAATTTTTTTCAGGTAAAACTTATCTCTATTAAGATATTTGTCCGTGTAGAAAAACCATCCGAAACGCACGCTCGACCGGCGATTTTTTCGACCTTATTTCTGAAATTTCTTTCAATTTTGCGTAATAAACCGAAAAAAACGTCTATTATGGATTGGTGAGGCCGCCAAGACCTACAGTTTGATACAACTGGCATAGTTGTAGGTGTTGGGGTTACCGAGATGAATCGAGTCGCTAAATTACACCAGACCAAGCACAATACTCGTTCTCCCACCTCCAAGAGGGAAGTGAGAGTGGAGGTAAAGAACGAGTAAAAAGAAACATTACTAAAAGATTTTGACTCACTGCTTGTTTCCGTTCCCATGTTTTCATTGCCATTTTATACTTTTCAAATTCATGGCACCAGTCTGAATATATTTTCTGGTAGTCTTGGCTTTTATTTGGTGAAAGACAACGGTGTGCATCAACAGTGATGTTGTAAGATAATAGTAACGAACCTCCCATCCAACAGTCATAGCGTCCAGCATCGGCTTCTGTTACACCTAGTATTACTAAGCCATGCTCAGAAGTCTCAATATATTTGTCAGCCCTAAAAAAATAAAAATAAATGAGGATTTAAAAAAATTGGAAAGAAGAAATAGAATTGAAGAGAGCCGGAAATCAGAATCACAGTTTACTATACCTGAATTGAATTTGGTAACGGCCTTTCTCTTTGGAATAATGGTACCAAGTAACAGTTTGTGACCTTAGGACTTCAGGCATTTTCAAAAAGCAGCTTAAGTGGATAGACTGACCCCATGTCACAACTAACTTTTTCTTTAGGACTGATGAGTCACAAACACCAGCAGTGTCATTAGAAACATCCTGAAGCAAACTGTAAAACCAGGATTAAATCAATTCAACAAGTAAACACCCAAATTACTGAAACTGTCATTTACGTTTGGCTTTTTCAGGAACCAGTTTACAAAATGATTCAAACAAGAAAATTCTGTTTGTGAAGAAAAATACTTACCCATATTCATAGCTTTTACAAGTTGAAGTGTCTTTATCCCAACCACAGTAAGGGTCATGGACACATCGTAGACAATTATTGTAACGTCTATTGCACATGACCAGGTCAACCTGACGAATGCGGTGGTCAGATGCAACGTAAAGCGACTTTTGCTGAAAAAAATAAAAACATTATGTTAACATATGTAGCACAATAGTATTACTTGAGTTTTCCAGTCTAGGTACATAATATGATGCATATGCTTACCTGGCGTGAAATTTCCATCAACCTAATGGGTTCTCCTGGGGTCACATCAAACACATCAAGAAGAATAGATTGAGGTTCACCGTCAGATTTAATCCATTGCACCACTTTGTACACTCGACCAACATCTAATAGAAGAAAACAAGTGGATTTGTTAGTGGTAATTTCAGTTACAAGACAAGAGAGTAGAGAGTAGAGAAATGAGCACTAAAGACAAGGTTAGGTTTTCTTAGTCTTTCTTTGCATAATATGTACTTACTAGAGCCAGTGTAGTAAACAACATAGTTCCTCTCTTCACCATCTACATTGATATTAATTTTGTCAACAACTAGATGAGTAAGGATCAAATCTCGCTTAAAGAATACGGGAACCCCACGTTCGTGAGATACAGCAGCATCCATAAGTGGGTGAGAGCGGATAAAGTTGAGGACAGAATCTGAAAAGGAAAATATAGTGTCAGTACACTTTTGAAAAGTAGCCATTAAACCAGTATAAGGGAGTAGTAAGAAAAATTACCAGGCAGAGTTTCAGTGTCATTCACACATTCACCAGGGCGAGGATCAGGGACACGGGTATTTAAAACGGGGAGCCACGCTGAGGAGGAATGGGCCTGCTCCTTGAATTTTCCTCGGAAAGCATCTTCAATATCTTCAATTGTGAATGAACAAATAGCTGAACCCATCAGCCCATTGGTTGAAGTGGTGAATGTACCATAGAAGCGACTATCATCTCCAGGGACTTTGTATATACTCTCTGTTGGCAAAAAGAAAAAAAATAATATTTGAGGGCATTGTTATGAATAAATCTAGTCACTTTGTATCAAAGAGTATGTGAGTTAGCCATAGGGATTCTCCCGTAAAATTTTGGTCTAGGTTGGGCCATATTGACGCCAGCTCACCTACCCTAGGATACAAAAAGACTCCTAAAGAAGTAAAAAGCAGATATTTCTCAGTAAAAACTGTTGCTTGGTTGTTAAGAGAGTTAACTTACGTATTTCATTGAAGTAGAATGGAAATTCTCCAGGAATAGAACAGTTCAGTCTGGCCTTCAGGTAGGTAGTCCAGTTTTGCGACAAGATATTCTTGCCGCCTGTATCCTTCTTACATACACGAGCGACTCGCGAGTATACTGATTTACCGCAATTGATATATTCAACTGCCGTCTCACGGAAGAAGAAGTAGACATAATTTCCGATGTCAAAAGAGCCCACAAAGTTGGGTTCTGAAAGAAAAACACATTGCAAATGAATATATAAACCAGATACAAATGAAATAAGACAAAAAGCAATTAATTTGCTACTTACTGTCGAGCCACTTGGAGTCGTACTTCAATGTCCTCTTGAAAGTGTATTCTCTCCTCCCCGTGGTCAGGTTGTGCAAGTCCGTGCGGAAAATGACGGTGTCGGCTTTGGTGAACTCGGCGTTGGTCCCCGAGTACAGGCCGGGCAAGTCACCAGGATTGCCTCGCTCCACCCAGACGGCAGTAGAGTTGTCCGAAGGGTCGTAAGGGCACTTTGCGACCCCTGTGCCAACCCCCGGGACGTACTCGTGGCGTGGCAGGTGCGTCAGGTTCGACTGGTCGGAAGGAAACACGGGTCATACGATCGCCAAAAGATCAAAAGTTGCAGTCATTGCACATCACAAAAACGAGAGAGGCATTTAAAAAACGAAAGCTTCGTCGTAGTCTACATGGGGACCGACCAGAAAGTACGTCCGTTTTTCTCAGATTCATCCAACAAAAGATAATGACAGGAGCTCGGCGCCTGCGGACCACAGGGTAGGCCAGCCCGCAGTACACACATGCGCTGACGGCAATATGTTGCCTACCTACCAGGCGCCATGAAAGCTTCCCAAGGCTGTACTTGGCAATTCTGTATTATTAACAGCGAATTAACGGCGTACTTTCTGCATGGTTCTTAGCGATGCCTCTCAATAACAAAACATGTTTACGAGGCGCCCTCTTTCATCATGCACACAAAAACCTAATGATTCTCTTACTCGTAGCTTATGAACTTATCTGTGCATGCTCCACTTATGGGGGCTTTTCAAAATAAGTGACATATGTGTCTTTTAGTATTTTGCTACACAAACCAATGTACGTCGGTACTCACGTATATCACCCAGTCCTTTGGGTTGTGTGCGTTGGTCCCGCAGACGTATAGGCGGCCGCCGTCACCCATCGGTTGGATCACTCTGATGTGGTTCCGACAGTCAAATTGCTGAAACATGACGGAAAGGCCAGGTAATTCAGTATGTTTTAACTGGGTTAGAAAGGGCATAAGAGTGCCGCGGGGTGCCGGTTGGGATACACTACCTCTGACTTTCCTTTGGACACGCACTGCGCCACGTTGCTGGGCTCGAGGCTGAGAGAGTCGCGCTGCAAAAATATAAGGAGCGGGTAAAAAAAAAAATTAGCAAATTTCGAAAGGCAAACACCCACGCCTTTGACCAATCACGAATACAGCTCAAAGAAAACGCTGAAACTGTGTGTAATACTTCACAAGCAAAAATTCTGAACAGAGTTTATAACGAGACTTAACGCTTCTTTGCTGAAGGGCCATTATTTTTTTCAAACAAAAAATGCCACGCATAAAAGTTTACACTCTGGATTTCCATCTTTCATTTGTTCAAAGTTTTAAAGTTTCCCTACATTCACATGTACGAAATCATATGCAGACTTGCGCACAGATTTGTCGAAACGAAAGGTAAGTTCAACTTAGCACGTGCGCTTTCACAAAAACACACATATACAGTTAGAGCGTGAGACACTATTAACGCACTTCAATTCTCACAAATGGAAAACTACCAATATTCTCGTGTAACGAGAGCAAAAGTAAAAACAATATTTCCAGCAGTATAGTCATCTGTGTGTGAGTCTAACAGAGCATCACTCTGTCGAAGGTAAACTCCTTTTGCGCAAACAACGGCAAATAGGCCATGCAGGCAGCGAGGCAGGCCGCTCTGCCGCGCGCGCCGTGTTTGATGTGCCGAGCAAATACTTACGTCGCAACTCGACTGGGAAATATTGGCGAGATTCAGCCGGAACACCCGGTCCCTGGAACAGGTAAAAATAAGCGTCAGAGTAAAGCGTGATTTTTGTCCAGAGCGTGCGTGAAACAAAATCCTAGAAAAGGCGAGTGGTGTTAGGCCGCCGCTCAAGTGACTTACATGGCCCCGACGTACAGCGAGTCCTTGAGTTCGTCCAGGTGCATGACTCGGTAGAACATTTTGCCGCAGGAGAACTCCCGGACATGGTCTGCGAACACAAAGAGATTTACCATTAGACATGAACGATGTACGACGTACGACATCCCCCTCGCTGAGGCGCGCGGAGGGAGTTCATCGACGAGTTCCTCTGGGAGTTTCTCAGGGACTAGACGACTTGGCGCACTCTGGTTCCGGGCAGTTAGCCGACACGCGTAGTTCCCCTTCCCCGAATATATTGAGAGAAGGGTGGCGCACGGCATGATAGGAAGTGTGCTGGGTCAGAGTAACAGCGGCAGAGAATAAGGAATAAGCCCTCCAAGGCCCTCCACCTGGCCCTCCACACACATACGCAGGAGCGCGCCGAGCAGACAGTTTTCTTATTAAAATGGGGGGAGAAATAAGGCTACGGCGAGCGTCACCTGGCCGCGGCATTTACCTGGAGTACTCAAGTACTCCCCGGCTCCGGGGGCGCGGAGCAGGCCAAGGAGCGGGGCGGGGCGGGGGTGGCATGCGGGGCGGCTCAAGCCCCGGGCCCTTCTAGCGCGCCTAACGACCTGCGGCGGGGCCGGGCCGGGGGCCGGGCGAGGCGGGGGGAGGTACTTGATGCGTTAAATTGAACTGCCGCGGCTTATATCACCCCGCCCTCCTCCCGTCTCAAAGGCAGTAGTGTGAGAGAGCGAGAGCGAGCAAGGGAGAGGATTTAGGCCCTACGAGCGCCATCCAAACTGACATGATGGAATTACGGATCAATACGCGCCTGGCCGCCACGCCGAGCAAACGGAAGAAAAGACGCTGCTCACGAAACAAACAGTGGGTTTGCGGATTTCAAATTTGAATGTAATGCAGCAGCTGCGAGTGTGATACGGTCGTTTTAGGAGGTACGTTGCTCGCTGAGGTTCACTGGAATTAATGTGGGAAGCAGCGTCAACAGAACGAGAGGCATGCTGAGTGGGAGGGAAGATCTTCCACAAGACTTGTTTGTCTGCTTGTAGAAGTGCGGGCGTGGCGCGGCGCGGCGGAGCGGGGCGAGTGGTGATGCGGCGCGGCGGGGCGCGACGCTCCGCCTGAGGCTAAGCCGATTTTGCAGGTTCACGAGTTTTCCTCATTGTTTCAAGAGTCTTTCATTATTTCTCGGGATAATATTTAAGCGGTCCCTAAAACAGATGAGCGGCTCCATTATTAGGCTTCGGAAAAGTTGCCGTTTGCAAGTTTTAAAGGGGAAGTGGAGGCGGGGGCGACTCTGAAGGGAGTCCTGACTGAGGGACTGCGCTCTCTCTGGAGTTTGTCTCGTCCCGAACCGACCCCCGCCAGACGGAGCCAAACCAGGAGGAAACTGTTACATAACCGCGCAGGGAAAAAATATGGTTATTGAGATTCAATTTGTACGGAGGCCCGCCTGTGCCTGCCCAGCCTCGGGAGGGGCGCGCGAGGCGACCGGGCTTCTTATGGAAAGCAGCAGTTGCAGCGGCAGTACAGTGATTCTCCGACAAAGTTTTTTTTCTGTTCGCCCTCCAAGAGCGTTACTGCATGGCCGTCCGGCAGGCGACTCCCCCCGGCACCACCAGGAAGGTCCAACTTTTAAAACTGCCCTTGTAATAGACGCCCGTACCCCCCCGCGGGCCCGTAGGGCGCACGGGCAAGAGAGGCAGGGAGGCAGCCTAAGGGCCGAGCAGGACCTGGACAAGCGCCAAGCAGCCAGCCGCTCCAGGACCAGCGGCACTATACTTCGGACCACTTTCCCGGTCCTCCCCCTTCAGGCCCGCTGGGCCCCGACCTGGAGGGGACCCGCGGACACGGACGGGAAGGAAGGGTCCCCCGCCCGCCGGGCAAGGTGTAAGGGAAGGGCACGGGTGTCCGGCGCGCCCGCCCTCCTTCCTCCCGACGGCCAAAACGAGGTACCGGGTCGGAAGCGACAATAATAGTCCGGGAGAATTCGCGCAAAACTTTGCTGCTGCTGCTGGGACGGGGAGGGAGGGGCCATGCGGTGCAGGCCATGGAGTGCAGGGCCGGCGGGGCGGGGGCGGGGATGGGATGGGCCACCGCTGCCGCCCGTCGCCCACCCCGCCAGGACAACTTGCTATCTGTGCGCTTCCACAAGACTGCCGGGGCCGGATACCAGCGTCGCGACGGCGGCGGCCACCTTCCTCGGCCACACATCCCGTCCTGCTCCAAGTTCAGAGTAGCGCCAGCACACCCTTGCCCCTTCTCGTCCCAGGACCATCGACAGCCCCGGAGGGAGCCCCAAAAGTGGAGAGCTGAGTCGAAAATTATACCGATATAACGCAATGCAATTTTGCAGGAGCCCACAGCAGTGGCGCCCCGATTCAAATACGGGGAAGCGTTAATATTCCATTTCGCGGTACGGTTTGAGGGGAGATTGGCACCACTCTGTCCCGGGCGGCCCGACCCCTCGGAGCCCGACATCGTCTCGACTGTAGCCTCGGCCGCCCGCCCGCACCTGAGAGAGAATGAGGGAGGGAGAGAGAGGGAGAGAGAGGGAGAGAGAGGGAGAGAGAGAGCTAGAGAGGGCAAAAGCGTGCGAGAGGGATGGGCGGCTGCCTGGAATAACTGACGACCCTCGCGGACCCTCGGCCTTCTCCTCAACCCCGCCGCCCGCCCGATCCGCTCCCGCCCTTCGCCCTCCCTGACCCCCCCACCCCCCTGCCGCGCATTTCCCTTTTGCGGACCGCGTTTGAAATGCCGTCCTTTCTAAGCGTTGACCCTTTGCGCGCTGCGAGCAAACTCAATGGGATGGCGGCGGCGTTCTGCAAACCTGGGCGCCCTGCGCGGGGTTCGGGCGGGGGTAGGAGGAGGGGCCGTGAAGAACAGCCGCTTGGGGACTTGAACAGATGCCGTCGTGGCGAAAGGTTGCTCGCGCCGCTCCGAGCAGCGCATCGGCCCGCGGCCCGGGCGGGGAAGGGTGTTAGCACCCACTGCGGGCGGGGCGGGGGCGAAAGGGGGGAAGGGCCGGCGCCGCCCCGCGCGGCAGAGCAGCGCAGAGATACAGGCATCGGCATGCTTCAATAAACAGCGCCTCTCACAAAAGAAACGGGAGAGGGAGCGCGCCCGGCACGCGGCGGCGTGGAGCTGTCCCAGCAGCAGCAGCAGCAGCAGCAGCAGCAGCAGCGATGGAACAGACGAAAAGCAAAAGTCTCGGGTCGTTGCGCATGGGCCAAATGAACGGAACGAGGAGAGTGCGAGGGAGAAAAGAAATGGAGAAAAAGAAGATGCCCCCGCGATAGAGGCAGTCGCAGCGCAATCGCAATAGCAGTAAAGAAAGAACAGGACGCCATTTACCGCATTTATAACCAAAAGATGCTGAAAAATTTATTTTGGCGATCGGGCTCTCAGGTCAGACGGTTAACTGGCCCAGCTAATAATTTAAACTAGCTGCGACCCGCGCCGCAAAAACTACGACTTGGAATTGGGCAATTGCGCGTCGTTTGGAAGAAGCATTGTATTGACGACAGTTCAGTGAGCTGGAGCGATGCGCGCGAGTCGCTTGTAGAGACAACGCAAGCGCGACGGAGAGGAGATCGTGTATAGCGATGTGCCGGTGGTGACGAGGAGGCCGGCCCCGGTCGGCGGCGCGGGGGGGTCCTGGAGGGGCCTATAGAAGGGACCCGAGCGGCCCCGGCGGGTACAAGGGTCCCTCCAAGGCCCGCCCCCCTCTCCGTGCCCAGAGCAAGGGCAGGAGTCAGCGGTCCGCAAACACAGACCTAACTTGCCCGTCCCGCGCCGATCCGGAGCGAATTCATTGGGCCGTGTTCGGGACGGGAAACGGGGCTAAAATGTGTGTCGCAAACTGACTTGGAATGCTATTCAGGCTGGCGCTGCTTGGGCCGGGCGGAGCGGGCGGTGCGCTGTGTTTGCCCTGATGTGTGGAACGACCCCAAGTTGTGCACGCCGCCGAATTCAGCCCTTCCACCACCACCACGGCCCCGGCCCCGGCCCCGCCCCGGCCCCATCCGGCCCACACAAACCCTTTGCGCAAACCCATCCGAATGGTAATACGGACCGCACTCCACATGCATATGAAGACAGTCGCAGGCCTACTCCACGCTCCCGCGGCAGAGGTGGGTACTTGTGGACCCCATGGACCCTGGCCGCCGCAGGGACAAGGACATCGTCACGCCACAGTGCCCTCCTGCTGCCTGCTGTGCGCTGCGCACCGCCCGCCCCCTCTCGCTATCGCCCTCTCTCGTCAATAAGTTGCTGAGCTGAGGGCGTTTCCAAAAGTTGCGTCGTATAACAATGGCCGATTCATTACCCGCGAGAAAAAGTCTTGAGAGGGATAGAGAGCTTGGGCTACACTTTTAACCTTCCCTGAGAAAGTCGAAATTACAACTGCGGTCAATTTTTTAACAATCGCTCATCAATGACAGAGACAGCTTTTGGGCAGACAAAATTATTCCGTTGAGAATTTTATCCTTACGCGTCATTTGACAAAACGAGCTTGCGCGGGTCGCCGATTTAGCAAGGTGTAAGGGGACGAGGGCGATCGAGGGGAGGGAGGGGGGCGTGAGGAGGGGCAGGTTTCGCGAAGGTGTTCTACTACGTGGACGAATCGCTGCGCCATGTACGCCCGCCGTTTCCGTCGTGCCACGGATGCCGTCGCGGCACCGCGGCGATCAGCCTCGCGCGATGGATATTGCGTAGATATTACGAGGACAGGCTGCTGCTAGGGGAGGAGCAGGGGGGAGGGGGAGGAGGGCGAGGCAGGCGGTTGAACGGATCAAACGTCGCCTATAAAAAAGAACGAGAAAGAAGGGGGGGGGAGAGAAATAAAACGTGACATACATCAAAGGGGTTTTGAGGAGAGGGAGGAAGAAGAGCAAAAGGGGGGAGGGAAAGAGGCGGAAGGGGGGGCGAAGAGGGACTCAAAGGGACAGGTCACAACGCGGAAGTACGGGAAGGAGAGAGAAATAGAACGAGACGGGCGAGGAGAGGCGCTATGCGATGGGGGAGGAGGACCGCGAGAAGGAGACGAACCGCAGACTGTTGAGGCGCGAGGCGGGGCATCGGAGCAGCAGCAGCGGCGGTGAAGGAGGCGTGAGCAGGATGCCGTTGATGCCGGATACATTCGCGGCGGATTGCGGGACGTATGAGAATAGAGGACATCGCTCGCGCGACCGCGTAGCGCGGGGCGTGAGGAGTGTGGACGGGGACGGGGTGGAGCGAGCGGGATTGCAGAGGTGTGCTCAGACAGGCGAGGCGTAGGCGCCGGGGCGGGGCGAGCTGCCCCTCGGTGGCGGTGATACTTTGAAGTTTAATAAGCACCCGGCCAGGCGGAATGCAGATTATGTCGGGCGTGGCGGGGCGTGGCGGAGCGTGGCGGAGCGTGGTGGGGCGTGGCCGCCCGGCCCGCGCGAATTCCCAGGTATACGTGCTGGTGCTGGGAACGGCGAGCAGGTGGTGGGCGGGAGGAGGGAGGACGAACGGGGAAAATTAGCGCAAGGGCGAGAAATGCACACGCAGGCAGCGAATGGAAAAAATAAATTAGCAAAGAGGGGGGCCAGTTCGGGGGAGTTCCATATATTCCGCGTCCCTCTGGTGCTGTGGGAGGTGTCGTCTCTCCTGGGGAAGAGTGTGTGTACCACGAGTATGACGCGCACAGACAAAACACGTCAATGCCCCCGCGGCAGGGGCCTGACCTGTGATTAAATGAATGAGTGTCGCAAGCTGACCTATAGAATGCTTACAGTTGGCCTGGCCCATCCGACACACCGGGCGTGTCCGGCCCATAATGCCGACTAAATGATCATCACATATTCCCCTCCCTTCCTCTCCCAAATAATGTATCGCGTGTGGGGGTGCCACCCGGGGAACGCCACACAGATGTGTGGACTTCGATATTCAAAGGAGCCTCGGCCGCGAGCTTCACGAGCAGCAGCCAGCGCCGCAGCAGAGTAAGCGAGAGAGAGAAAGAGAGAGTGAGAGATAGATGCAGCCAAGTGACGCGGAACGGAAAGAATGCTAATGCTGGCAGGGCGGAGCGGTGCGGTTTTGGGGGAGCTGCTGCTTCTGTCGCGCCACGGGGCTGCTGTGCCGCGACTGCCGCCGCCGGCTGCCAGACCAAACAGTCGGGGTAATGCCTTGGCCCCAAAGCTAACCCGACAAGTCAAGCCCGGCAGGGCGCATGGGAGGCAGCAGCGGCAGCCAGCAGTGGTGCACAGCGGAGCACGGCAGCGCCGAGCAGCGCCGAGCACAGCCAATCGAGCGGTAAATCGCCCCCCGCGGCAGACGGGGCGGGGCGACCTGCGCGGGGCGTCAGACGACAGGGGTCGAATTGAAACCCGCCTCGCGGAGTATAGAAGGTAAGCGAGGGGGCCAATCCTCTGTGGATTGTACACATGATTGCATGGAATGCAGTATTTTACAGGATTTTAAGGGTTTCGCATATTATTTGAAAATATTTTAAGAGTTTAAATTAGACTCAAAAGTTCACAGAATTACCAACGACCTCACACGATTTCTGAGGATTTTTGACATTTAAGGAAGGGGATTTTAGGCAATATAATGGTAGATTGCGCATCATTTCATGAGTGCAGGTGGATTTCAAATGATTTCGGAAGAATTTCAGGGTCGGTTTTAGGAGTTGGTTGGAACCTACACGGACGTAAGCGCGCCCCGTTTCGCCGCCCCCGCCCCTCCCCGGTCGAGTTGGTGGTGGTACTACTCGCTCCGGCAGCGCGGCATCGCTCTCTTTGCTCCACACGTTCGTGGCCGACATGAGCGCGGCGGGCCGGGGTGGGGCAGGCCCCGCGGGTGGGCACGTGCACCTGACTCATCTCGATGCGGTGCCCGTCTCGCCCCCGCCCCGCCCACTTACACGATTGACAGTAGTCGTGCGAGGCGAGCGCGCAGCCAGCCAGCCGCTTCAGAAAGTAAAGTCGTCGCGCGCTATCGTTTGTTGTGTCGCGGGGATCCCCACGGCGGCCAAAGAGGGGGTAGGGAAGGAGAGACAGAGACAACACACGCCATCTCTCTTGCTTTACGCGAATAAGGGCGTAAAGCGGGTCTGAGCCGCTGGTAAACAGTCGAGAGAAAGAGAGAGAGAGCGAGAGCGAGCGAGCGAGAGCGAAAAAGAGGAGCTTTTGGACGGCCGTGTCACGCCCTGACAAGGAGGACGTGCCTACCCGCCACGCCGCGCCCCGACGGCCCGACACCGCGGCGGGGTGAGGCGAGCAGAGCAAGGGGGAAGCGGGTGTGGCGGGGAGAGGAGTTGGCGGAGGGGTGAATCATTAGGGCCAACTTTGTTTTTAATATCTGCAGGCAGGTCGCATCTCTGTCGTGCGTCTGCCTGCGTCACGCCGCTGCCGCTTGTGTATACACCCGCCTCGGCGTAAATGTGTATGGCACAGTGCAAGCAGCAGCAGAGCGTCTCCCTCTCTTTCAACCTCCACCATACTTTCCCCGCTCTCTCCCTCTTACGCACACACGCTGGAGTTTAATTCGCGACTTTTACGTGTTATTCCCTACCTACCTGCACTCGCTGTGTGAAATTACAAGCCGTAACTCACTGT